TGAAAAATGAAAACATTTTATAAAACATACACACAACAAACCATTTCTTATTTAACAGTTAAAATATTTAATACTTGAAAATGGCTAAATGCATAGCCGAAAGCGCTCGGATAAAAAGAACATTCGGACAATTTTTATATAATTTATCATCCGAAAAGAAAAAAAATATAGATCGCATGAGAAATTGTACAAAAAAGTAAATAAAACCACCTTTTCTGTCGTATTCAATGAAATATGCATGAAAGAAGGACTGCTGTCTAAATACGCAAATATATATATATATATATATATATATATATATATATATATATATATATATATATATATATATATGAAATTGCCAAGTAACGACAAACACGTATTAAAAATTCTTGAAGCTTTATACATAAAACAGTTGAAACCTAACCTGAACAAAATAAACTATGAAATCTCCACAAATATCCTTAAATGCCTATAATTTATAACAGAAGCCATTGGTTTATACCAACGGCTTCCCATACTTAATACTTCTCGTTTTTCACTCTCGCGTGGTCATATGTGACGTCACGAGCTGCGACGCGATTTTCGCTTCCGCGTCTCGTATATACGAATTTGTCGTTACTTGAAATTTTTATGCAGCAAGGGCGGACTCACATTGTTGTTTCGTCCGTTGTTGTTTGATTTATTGAAATTGTCTTATTTGATAATGGCTTGTGTAAGTCGAAAGCTTAGATTGGATTTAAACATGTATCAATATAGTGTTTTCCTTTCGTGTTTCAATGATAATGTTATTAAGCTTATCAGACAATATGAAAGGAAATTACTTAAAATAAATAGACAAAACTTTTCTATATTATTAAATGAAACATGCATTAATGAAAAATTGCTGCCTAAATATACACAATATATATATATATATATATATATATATATATATATATATTATTGATATGGAGTTTTTTTTTAGTGAAAAAACCTGTTTGAGGTGATATTCCTGGTTTTTACTTTCATAAGCACAGAAATTAATAACAAACGAGAAGTCCTATGGGAGAAAAACTGTCACCCGACAAGAATCGAACCTGTATTTCTTTTCCCATCAGGGAGACTGTTTCTATAGATGGAAGGTGCAGCTTCTAGTTTGACCACGGGAAGACACCTTTTCATAGCGAAGTTTCAATTCGCTATTTCAGGAATGCACATCTCTATCTAGATCTCATTGCTTCAGTTTCGTAACCGAAACGTAATCAACAGTAATTTTTTAACGATTTATTTTCACAATCCGACACTAATTCTTGCTGCTATAAACGCTATGAAGTGATAAAAGTACTTTTCGGTTATAGAACCGCTTTCATTGATGGAAAAAAAGATACAATTTCGATTCCTGTCGAAGGTACAAGTTTTATTTTGTCGGATTCCTTGATCTTGGCCGGTTGTTGTTAATTTCAATGTTTAAAAAAAAAAAAAAACAAAACAAAAAAAAAAAAAAAAACAGAAGAAAATCAAAAACAAACAATGCGCATGCGTGAAATAAAGAACATGAAATGACGACAATTACCAAACGAAGCCTATATACCATCCCTCTTCTTCCTCCAAAAACCCTACGTACATCTCTTAACTCTTTACTTCGCCCCTCTTTTTTTCGTTTACCCCATTTTTCTCTTTTTCCCATATCATTTCCGTTGAGTTGACCGATTAAATAGATCAATGTCTGATCCTTACCCCCTCCTTCCTCAATATTAAGTATTATAATAAAAAGAAATATAAAAATAAACTTTAAAACTCTCCCATCCCTCTCTAAACTCGACCATGTCTCTCATACCATCCCTCACCACCCTCTATGTCAAATTATATAAGCTTAATACTGCCTGTCAAAAGTGTTAATTTTAATTTCATTTTTCGTTTCACCTTTTGAAAGTGAATTTTGAAGATCCAGAGGAATATAAAATTCCCTGGTGAAATAAATTATTACAAATGGAGCCTGAGGTGATCTGTTTTTCTTTAAATTAAATTATTTGCTCTGACTTAACATTAAGCTCTCAGGATTTCATCCTTCTTGGGATTATCCATACGGATTAACAAGATTTTCGTTACTTACGATTAAGGCTGTATTTAATTTTTTGAAGATCAAAGTTGACTGGAAAGCAAGTAGCTGGGAAAAAATTCCACAAGCGAGAAGTGCGAGAGAAGAAACTGTTAGCATAGAACCTACGGTTACATTTAGCTATTTCAACTGTAAGATGATGTGCTTTTGCCACCAGTCTAGTACTGTGCTTAGCTTTGTAAAGTCTACGTAGCAAAGTGTAAATATTTATAGGCAAAGCACAGGGAAACTAAGTTACGGCAGAGGAAAAGTAACTGAGGTCGAGATGCCAGGTCAAGACCAATAACATCGCAGATTCTTCGTATTTTATCAAGATTTGCTAAATACCTAGTATCAGTGGACCAATTTCTCTCCGCGTCCGTTATCGACACTGTGTTGATAGCAAGCACAGAAAGGAAACTACAAAACCTCCTACAGAAGATAGTGAGAGAAAGAGAGAAGAAAGTATAACGTACAAGAAGCCAGAATGCGTGGTTGTTAGCAAAAAGGATGAGCCCAAAATACAAATTTCAAATCATGGATACGAAAATCAAGCTGGCACAGAAATTTAAATATCTGGGAAGTGTTCTAACAGAGGACGGGAAGTGCGGCACTGAGATCCGAAGACATATTGGAATGGCTAAAGACGCATTCCAAAAGCTAAGCTATTGAAGGACATAAAAATTTCAACAGAAACAAAAAAAAAAAAACAAAAAAACAAAAACAAAAAAAAAACAATAAAATAAAAAATAAGGGTACTGAACTGTGAAATGATATCTGTTCTCTTGCATGGCATCAAATGCTGGACAATCTGGACAAAGATGAAAGAAGAGACTTGAAGCAACAGAAATGTGGATCTACAGAAAAATACTGTAGATACCATGGACCAAACATTTGAGTAACAACAAGGTTTTGGAGAAAATGGAAACAAAATGGAAACACTTAAAATCAGAAAGAAGCACTGAGAAAAAGTGAGCATATTAGTATACATACATACATACATATATATATATATATATATATATATATATATATATATATATATATATATATACATTTCATTAAATACGACAGACGAGATGCTTTTATTTAGTTTTTTATACAATTTCTCATGCGATCTAATAATTTTTTTCTTTTCGGCTGATAAATTATATAAAAGGATTTAATATTTTAACAGTTAAAATATTTAATCCTTGAAAATGGCTAAATGTATAGCCGAAAGCGCTCGCATAAAAAGAACATTTGGACAGTTTTTATATAATTTATCATCCGAAAAGAAAAAATTATTAGTCCGCATGAGAAATTGTATAAAAAAACTAAATAAAATCACCTTGCCTGTCGTATTCAGTGAAATGTGCATGAAAGAAGGATTGCTGTCTAAATACAAAATTGTATCCGAGGAAAAATTTGGAAAAAAAAGAAAGAACCAGAAACCTCCGAAGAGGCCGAAAGAAATCATCCAGTGCCTTAAATTTCTGGTACAAAGAAAAGAAAATCCAGCGAGTAATAAGTTAAAACAAACAGTGATCAATACGCTAAGTAAAGTAAAAGTAAAATAAATAAATCCTAATGAACCTACCTAGGTTTCACCAATTGGGATCATCATGTGGGGCAACCTAGATAGGTAGTACCTGGCTCATTAGGATTTATTTTATATATATATATATATATATATATATATGGTGTCCATAGAGTTCATATGCACTTTAAAAAATTATGTATACATATATTGTTAAATATAACTGACAACGAATGTCTATTATGTTTGATTATGAGTGGTTCTAAACTTCGTATGTTTGCTTTAATTTCGGGAGAAAATAAAGACAATAATTGTCCAACATTTGGATATTATTTTATGATGCTGTTCCTTGATCTAAATTAAAGCAAACCTGCGAAGTTAAGAACGGTCCATGTGAACAACGACAAATTTTAAACACACACACACACACACACACACACACACACACACACACACACACACACACACACACACACACACACACACACACACACACACAGAGACACGCACACACACATATATATGTGTATATTAGGATATTACATCGAAAACATGTCAAAATCGCTACACAATTGCAGTCGTGTTTCAATGCATATCAATGCATCTCATCAGCCGATTGTAAATTACTGGCGAGTGAACGATTTATTTAGATTTAAAAGCAAAATACATCTTTTTACGAGAAAAAATAGGTGTGATTTATAAGGTTTGTGGGCGTTACTCAGATCAACCAATCGAATATAACCTACGTTAAATTTAAACAAGCGAAGAAGCAAATATTGAGAATTATTTTTCATAGATGAATCATCACCCATAGATTATACCTATTTTTCATAAAAAGAAGTTGTATGTTTTCGATGTAATATCCTAAAATAAAGAATATTGCTCTACTTTGTATTGAGCCCTCTTTTAAATTAAATGTTACAAACGTTGGAATTGTACTCTATTCGTTTTCATCTTACCTTAATATATATATATATATATATATATATATATATATATATACATAATTTAGGCCTCTGACGATCATCAATGACCATTGATTTGATTCCGTCCGTCTGTTCCTCTGGAACATCGCCGCCTGTAGCTGAACTGGACGGTACACGAGTGGCAGTCTCTGTTACGCAAGTCACACCTTTGAATTGTGTGTGTGCGTCTATGCTGCAGCGTTCTTTTCTGCGGGTTCGCATGTCTTCAGCTGTGTTGTTCAGTTACTCTTTTTCTGATATTAGTTGTTTAATCAGAGTGCTTCTCCATCCAGAAAGGTCAGTAGCAATGTCCTCCCAGTGATTACCGTTGATCTCAAGGGTCTTAATGTTCCTCTTACAGACATCTTTGTAGCGCAACTGAGGGAGACCGGTGTCATATGTATGTATATATCTTTATATCTATCATCTCAACCTATTCATCTCTCCCTCTTTTTAGCTATTTCAATCTGTTCGTATCTATCTATCTATCTATCTATCTATCTATCTATCTATCTATCTATCTATCTATCTATCTATCTATAACCGAATGGGTAAATATATAGGTAGATATGCGATCGTATACAAATACATATAAATACTAGTGTAAGAAAACACTCACACACACATATATTTTATGATTCGATATATATATATATATATATATATATATATATATATATATATATATATATATATATATATATATATATATATATATATCTTCATGAATAATTCATACAAAAAACAAATACAAAGGTTAATGATTTAATTGGCGAGAAATCCATCGTCGCGAACAATTCAAATAATATACAAAAACCCCGAACCTGTTTATGAATGAAAAGACCTTTGTTTTTATAAATTTCTGTTGCATAAGTTCTTATTATTTTTACAAGCTTTCGTCTGATCCTACAGACATCCCCAGGTATGGAATAGATTTTGTTCTTGTTTTTACTCTCAGTAATAAGAGGACAACGAAAATATATGTATTGTAATCCGAAAAATGCTATTAAAAATGAGTTATTGTTTTTGGAGCGTGCAGAGTTTGAATTTATATATATATATCGAGCCATAAAATGTGAAAGTAATTCCAAATAAGTGTGTAAAACAAACAAACAAAAACATTACAAACATATTTCGATGTTTATTTATATCTTCTTCAGGACATTAACTTACAAACACGTGCTTTGGATTCATTGCATTGCCTTTTATTTCGTAATAGGCACTCTCTTACTATATTTTACTCTGAGATACAAGTTCTTGACCCTTTTTCATTTAGTTGGACAACAAGCCTTAAAGAGAGCCTTTCCGTTCAACAAATAGCCAAGGCCACACCTAAACACAGGATGAGCTTAGGCCCTACATATCAAGAGCTGAAGCCATCAACTGATATTTTCTCTCTCTACAGTTTTATAGTTCAGCTGTATTTTGTCTGTTTATGTCACCGTTAATGGGTTAAGGTCAAGCTGCCTACTTCTTCTGTTAACTTTATTCACTACCCCCGGAAGTATCTGACTTAAATGGTAAGATTGGACTGGTGCCAAGCAGTGACTGTCTAGACTTTGGGCATTTAGCAAGAACACGTCTTGCCGGATATCATTATTAAGTTCCCAATAACATTAATAAAATGGGGTGGTCATATTGCGAAAAAGTTTTGAGAATTTTCCTGTATTTCTCTTGTCGCTATATTTTAGACATTGACGCCTATTTTTGAGCGACAGTCGGTATGCTAATCTCACATACCCTCTGCTTAAGGAAGGACATTGAGCAATACTAGCGACCTACTATTATAGCCTTGTGCCAGACTAAAGTATGATTTTTTTTTATTTTTAGTTATAAAAAGAATAAATGAGAATATAATAATTAATAAGATGTGACGAATGAGGATAACGGGTTTTAATAGATGCGGTTGATTCAGAAGGATGACGAAGATACACTATTTACATTATTCGGACTATTCTCCTCATCTTTGTCGCCATATTTATTACAACGTTTCGGCCGTTGTACGCTCCGGCCTTCTTCAGGTGGTTGGAATGTCGAACTTAACCCTTTATTTCGCTCACTGGGGTAGACTGTTCTAGTTTCACGTGCCATGTTTAATGGATGTCAGTTATCAGTTATCTCCTGTAAATTCCCCTCTCCAAGATCTCCATTGCCTTAAACGGGTATTGAACTCATACTCTTTGGGTCCTGTCACTGGATCCTTTATCCACTGTGCCATGTGTCCTTGATGGCATCTGTGTATGAATTTCACACAGTCTTTAGTCATGTTCTCCTCTATGGGGGGGTCTTACTCGGGAGAGATATCTGCGAATTGTCGTCAAGCTTTTGAAGGTTGTCCTGATGTTATATGGACCGCAGATGTTGAGAACTTTCGTAGAGAATCAATCCATATTTTACAAAAAAAAGTCGCGTATCATAGGGGTTAATGGCTAGATCGAAATGGTCTTGTTCAGTGGTCACCAGACCGCACACGCTTGGATTTTTCTGTGGGTCCATATAGAATCAGTTGTTTTATCAGACGCGCCTAAGGAACTTAAATATGGAGGCAGTAAAATGACTGAGTATCTCCTCAACGTATTAAAGAATCCTGCAGGCACAGAATTGAAATGTGTTTTTGAAAAAGAAGGAAGACATTTTGAACAGCATATATATCAAGTAAATAATTAGTAAATATAATATACATATATGTATATAATCGACTCTCCCGTTGAATTCGACGTATGAGGGTCAAGCAGATCAGTTCCTAGGAAACCAACAGCCCGACAACACCACATGAGATTTGATTATAGTGGTAAAGGTTTCGTGCCTGACCATCCACACTTTTTGAAGGGCCGAATACAGAGATCTGGTGCACTACGTGCCACAAGGTCCCCAAACGACCCTCCGCAGGTTTTGAATTCAGAGTTGTCCTTCTCCTAGACCATTTGCCATCCAAGGCTATAGAACCCAGTCTGTCCTGGTATTTATCCATATCTGGAGGGTGAAGAAGAGGAATCACACCTTTCCCAAGGGTATTAGCACGTACTCGGCTGGAATTCGAACTCGACTCTCCGATTCCTCAATCCAAGCCGCTATCCATTACCCCACCGTGCCTCCTCAATACTGAATCTGAGGCCGTGTAAAGAGTTGAATGAAGACAGAATGTCGCCATCACTAGTGATCCCTCCAAATACCCTCGTAATCACAGTTAGACAATCTAACTCTTTCCGAATCCTCTGCACTGTCCTCAGATTGACAACCAAACACTCTGAAATGTTCGTATTGGAGATTCCGGTATGAATGTCAAGCAGTACAGCATGCCGTTTCCAAATTTCTGGCGGAGTGAATTGTGTCATAGTGCTCTTTCTTTCAAAGGAAGTGCCCAACTGACCCTATTATATTGTGCAGTCGACAAAGATATTTTTGTGTAAATATATCTGTTAAAATGAGATGTCGGTATTATTTTAATTATTGCGTAATTTAGACGACAATTTATCCATCGCACCCTCTATGCGCACGTATGTATATCTATATACGTACATACATAAATGTACGCGTTAGCGTATGCGCAAGCATATAAATACAGGCATATGCACACAAATTCAAACAATAATAAATAAATTATGAACCTAACCTCCTACAATTAATATTCTATTAGTACTCAAGATACCTCCTAACCAAATAAGAAAATGAAATAATAGCTACGTGAAGACATATAAAAATATTTATCATTCAATCATTAATATGAAATATTGATGTAAAAAACGAAATACAACTTTCCTAGCCCAAGAAAAGACTAGAACGCTCAAAAATCAAAAACGATAACATTTCTAGAAGAAAAACTGGAGACAAATAACTACAAATGGCTAAAATTGAAAGAAAAGAGGAAAAGGCGTAAAAAGAGAAAAAAAAAAACTAAAGTGTGAATGGAAAGTGGAAAAATAAACGAAGAAAAGAACAAATAATCGCAACACCCTACACGTACACACATCCGCGCAGACGGGGCCACGCGTGTTAATGCATATCCGAACAGACGAGCAAACGCAAGCACGAACACAAACACTGCACAAAAAAACAAAACAAAACCTTACACCAATGATAAGTGCATAGAAAGAGAAAAATCGAGTAATATATAGCAGTCAAATGCTGTTACCCTCTGAAGAGTGGACTTTCGTTCGACACTTTGTCAGAAGTAAATAAATCGTCGGAAATTAAATTAATCAAGAAATGTTTTCTCAAAACAAGATCTTAAAAGAGGACAAGAGGAGAGGAGAGAAAAATGTGAATGAGTCAATTTATGTTTAAGTTTTCTCTGTCTGAACAGAGCCGGACGTTGTGTGTTGATCACTACAGCCTCTAGAATATTCAGATGATATTTTGTCCGAGTCTTATGTAGCACAGAGAAGAACTCTTCTGAATAGTTGTTTCTACAGGTATCCGTATTTAATAGATGTTCATCAATGGCAGACATGTGTCTGTGAGTGCCCGGATATTAATGACATATGCCTGCGGATAGGACCTGACACATGTTGAGCAATTCTCACCTCCAGTCGTTGAAGAGTTTTGCCCACATACTACTGTCATTTATAGCAATAAATAACTAAATTTTGTTGAAGTGTTGGCAAAACCTCTTTACGGACAGAAGGGAACGCACTTCTTGTAGAAAAGACGGTACCGTAGTGTGGCAGAAGTAAAACAGTGCATTAAAAATGATGAAATCCTATCCGCAAGAAATAGGCTAGATCAAAGATAATTTGAAATACACGGGACATTTAGAAGGACCGAATGTTTTAATTTCATTAAAATTATAAATTATAAATCTAATGTTACTCTAGGTAGCCATTTTGAAAGGAAAATGTCGGTAATTTTCCTGAATTCAGCATCCAATTTACATCCCGAACATATCACCAATGCACGATGAGTAAGTGTTTTGATAAGATTAATCTTCTTAGATTAAGAGGAAAAAGAAACCCAACTAAGATGTAAAAAGTGGATTTTCTGTATACCCTGTTGAGGAAAACTGTAGAAGTTTTCTCGATTAACACGTCCAAGAAAGGTAGCATATTATTTTCAAATTCCATCGTAAATTATAAGAAAGGGTGAAGGTTATTTAAATGCTGAAAAAATTTATTCCCCTCGCTATGTGATGAAAATTTATATCGAGCCAGACCCCCCCCCCAAAAAAAAACTCCTTCTTTCTCCAAGAGCGTTTTTATTGAGATGATGAAGATGGCGATGAAATCTGTCTCGTTCCGTTTTAATAATATTATGTACAGTCAGTTTCGATGGAGTATCGATGGGTAGTTTTATGGTACCTCCTATAGGCAATATTTTTGCAGCTTTCTATGAGAAACAATTTCTTCTTCCTAAACTATATTGTTACGTGCGTTATGTTGATGATACCTTTGCGTTATTTTCATCACATAGCGAGGCGAATAAACTATTTCTTCATTAATTTAATTTCCAACGATTTATTTACTCTTGACTAAGTGTCAGATTAAAGAGGACTTTGGTTGATTTTATTCGATTTTAATCGTAATTACATTTAGACTAAGTGATATTAAAGTATGATCCCCATTTTAAAATTATTATATATATATATATATATATATATATATATATATATATATATATATATATATATATATATATATAATTGGTATATACGGAATGAATTCCAATAACCAACAATTACTATTCTTAAAAGAGTGCCCAATACAAAAGTAGACCAGATATAATTATTTATTTAGAAAATTTATAACATAAACACGTTATAGAATCACTACGAAAATAGCCATTTTGTTTCAACACTCCAGGTGTCTTATCAAGTGACATTGATAAGGAAACAAAATGGCTATTTTTTGTAGTGATTTTATAACATGTTTATGTTATAAATTTTCTAAATAAATAATTATATATATATATATATATATATATATATATATATATATATATATATATGTAAATTAACTGATTTAAAATATGGTTTCTTCGTTACACAGTAATAACCATGTTTCAAAAACTGAAACTAAAAACTTCAAATTTAATTATATAATTAAATTAAAAGCATTAATTTTGTTTCATCTTCAAGCGAATTTTGGAATAACTTATTTTTAAATTTACTGAGTTTTAAACGCACATATAAATTCATAATTATATTCAGTTTCATGTTAGACGCAACCATCAGGCTGACGATTGCGTCTAGCATGAAACAGCCTGTCGCCTCTGAGTGTTGACTTCTATGTTCACTTTTATATTTATATTTACATACACTCTATCTCTAATACTGAGCACTTTATCCCATAAATATTGCACACATTAAAACTATATTTCTTCATATATATATATATATATATATATATATATATATATATATGTAAATATCTATAAATCGGTTGTAACAGCAAAATTGTCCAATCATGTTGCAACATAATTATCCACTCCACAAAATGTTTAATATCTAAAAATAAATAAATAAATAAAACACTAAAGTAATTGAATTTCTTTTTTCCAGGGTTTTAGATAAAACATTTAGCCGTCTTGACACCATTTTTCATAAGAAAAATACTTTGAGCTATTCAGCGAAAATAGAACAGGTTAAATTCGGTTTGTGTCAGACACACTGGCTTCCCAACTGAGCAGTGGCGCGAGGAAAAAACCAGGCCTTCAGTAATGATACGAACATACATAATCTGGCTTCCATCTTCAAAGTCCATGCAACAACCGTCAAAAGAACGGTGAATAAGACGCAAATACACATCGATAAACCGTCTGTAACAGCAAAATTGTCTAAATCGTGTAACAGCAAAATTGTCCAATTGTTAGATTAAGATTTGAACCGTTGTATTTAAGAAATGGTTAAAGACATCTTACTGGAATTCTCCTAGGTTTTTGCACTATTGGACTCTAATCTTGAACAACAAGAATGTATTTAGCTCTCAGTTGAAATGATGATCCCTCTTCCTGTTATGACCTCCTGATTCAGTTTTCTTTTCTACTGTTCCTTCTTTTTTTAAAAAACTTATTCACTGTTCTCTCGATGGTTCTTGAATGGACTTTGAAGATGGAAGCCAGAGTATGAATGTTGATACCCTTACTGAAGGCCTGAATGATCTTTTTTCTCTCCCCATTGCTCATTTGGGAAGACATAGTGGGGTTGACACAAAATGATTTTAAACTGTTCTCTTTCTAGCTCTGTAGTTGTCAAGATGTCTAAATGTCTTATCTGAAAACCTGGAAAAAATAAATTCAATTAGTTTAGTGTTTTTTCGATAAATATTTTGTGGGATAATTATCCTAAACTGTAACACGATTTGGAAAATTTTGCTGTTACATCCGGTATATAAGCAAAATAATATCATTGTTATTATCACAACGTTTCAATGGCTAAAATTCACGAGCCAAGGCTTTAATACATTAGGCTACTGTCCCTTAACATGGAGAGTGGAATGAGTTTAATCTATCTCCGTATATTAAATGGAGGTCAACACGTTGTTATATAACAACAAAGATGAAGACAACAGTCCGAATGTAAATAGTTTAAATGATAATAATGCCTCATCTCAAAATTTAAAGCAGAAGATACTTGTGTCATGTTATTTGGAGAGTAGACGGGCGCCGCCAATATCCCCACTAAGTTAATTTCGTGAACCCAAAATACCAACTAACAACGACTGGTAAAAATGATTTTATATCACATTTTGCGTTGGGGCATTTTCCTCTGTAGGATTTATTATTATTTTTTCAGTGGAACTATTTTAATCAGCCGAGGTTCATTTCTGGCAATAATGAGTGATGAGGTGGGAATGGCCCAGTGGAAATAGTCCCAGTCTGTTGGTAGCGTATCAATGGAATCAATCAATGAAAGAGATTCTGCTGGTGGTGACAGCGGCACGGCGAAGGGGGTATATCAATTGAAAGATTCTCTCGGCATCTGTGATTTCTCAAACTCTTACTTGGCTCATCTTTCGTTACATTAATGCTTGCAAGTAGTACACGGAACCTTGAGCGAACAGGCGGAAATTTCATTTCTTCCTTACTTTTTCTATCCTTTCTTACTGTGTTAACTTTCTTTCTTTTTCTTTTATTTTGTTCGTTTAATTCTTTCTTTCTTTCCTTCTTTCAGTGGTTTTATTTTCTTTCTTTCTTTTTTAATTTTCTGAGTTATTTTATACTTTTCTTTAAAATTTTCTTTAATTTTTTTTACCGCTGCTGTACTTTCTTTTTGGCGTTATCTTTTGTTGGTTCGTTTCTTCTTCTTGTTTTCTTTCTTTCTTTCTTTCTTTCTTTCTTTCTTTCTTTCTTTCTTTCTTTCTTTCTTTCTTTGCTTTGTTTGTTTCTTTGTTCCTTTTTTTCTTTCTTGTCTTTGTTTCTTTTTTCTTTATTTCAATGGTTTGATTTTCTTTGGTTGTTTGTCGCTTTCTTTCTTTCTTTCTTTCTTTCTTTCTTTCTCTCTTTGTTGTTTAATTTTGTTTCTTCGTCTCTTTCTGTTGTTTTCTTTCTTTTTTTATTCTGATTTCTTTATTTTTTATCTTATCTTTTGTTACTGCCTTATCTTTATTTCTTATTCACGTTTTTTTTTTCTTTTTCTAATTTAATTCTTTTTTCTTATCGCTTCTTTCTGTGTTATCTTCAGTCTTTTTTTTCAAATTATTTCTCATTCCTTTTTTTTTCATAGGATAACTTTAATCTATTTCCTTTTCTTTTCTTTTTTCCTTCCTTTGTTTCAGATTTTATATTCTTCACTTTTCTTTTTCTTTCTTAAATGTTTCGTTTTTTGAAAGCCGCGCCCCATCTTTTCTTCTCGTTTGTCCTACTTCCTCTCTCTCTCTCTCTCTCTCTCTCTCTTTCTTGCTTATCCTTCTCCTCTTTTCAGTTCTCTCTGACTTTTATTTTTAATCCTTTTTCTTCCTCTGCCTATCCTTTTTCTTTTCTCCATTCCTTCCTTCCTTCTTTCCTTCCCCACCTATCTTTCTTTTAACTATATGGCTTTTCCTTCTCTTTATTTCCCGTATTCTTTCTATATATAATTCTTCTTTCTTTTTTTCTCATCGTTTTTGCTTTCTTTCTTTTCTTTCATTCGATGAATCCATTTACATTTTCTTTTCTTTCTTTATTCATTTCCATTCTTTGACTGTCTAAATATTTATACTTTCTTTTTTATCATAGCATTTCATTCTTTTTTCTTTCTTTTCATAATCTGTTGATTTTCTTAATTCTGTTTATTTACACCTGAATTTCATATTAAGTATTTTTCTTTGTTTTTATTTGCTCCTACTTTTATTTCTTTTTCTTTCTCTTTCATTATTTATTCCAAACACACATATATGCTAGCAAATTCATAATATCCTTTTCCTGAGTCAACCCTATAAAATCAATGTTTCTCTCATGATCCAACATAGGCACTTTCATTATGAAGCGATCTGAAGCCGGACATGCGCAAAGACTACAATTTATTTGTAAATAGTCATCTAGATTTTACACACTCTAACTTTTTCTTCTCCTTTGTTTCTATTCTTATTTCTTTAGCATCAGTTTTCTTGTCGGCTTTTTGCTAATATTTTCCTGGCTCTTATTTTGCTTCCGTTTATTTCAATGACGTTCAATGTTCGTTCTTCTTTGTCTTTTATCCTTCAGTGGTTTCTTTTTATTAATCGCAGAAAAGGTTTTTTTCCATGTCAGCTTTTGTCAATTCTCTGCCTTCTTCCCCCTCTTTCAATTGGTACGAGCGCTTCTAACTCCTTATCTTCGCCTACTTTTCTTCATCCAATCTTTCTTTCTTTAATTTGAAAGTAATTTTAAATTCTCATTTTGCTTCTTACTATTTCCTTTCTATCTCTAAACTTTATTTTTATTCCGTTCTCTTTTTGTTGTTGTCAGGTTTACCTTTTTATATTTTATTGTTTCTTTTGTTTTTTGTGGTTTTTATCTGTTTTCCTAATATTTTGTTATTTTATTTAAGCCGTTTTTCTTTTGAGTAAATGTTCCTTTTCCTTTCTTTCTTTCTTTCTTTCTTTCTTTCTTTCTTTCTTTCTTTCTTTCTTTCTTTCTTTTAGCACCCTTCTATTTATTTAGCCTGCCATTTTCTTTCTTTCTTTCTTTCTTTCTTTCTTTCTTTCTTTCTTTTCTTTCTTTCTTTCTTTCAACTTCTTTCATGCCACTTATTCCCTGTTCTCTCTATTACATTCACACACTTTATAAATTCTTCAAACGCTTATTTCGATTTCGTCCGCCATTTCTTTCCTTGTGAGTAAATATCGTCATTTATTTTTTCTTTCTCTTAATGGCAGTTATTGCCATGGAAACACTGCATCACTTTCTTGCAATGGCGGCAGTAAAAGAAGTGAAACCTCTACAGGGTCATCTACAGAAGATTGAACGCTACACAAACCTTTGAAGCTTTCTGTTTTGTTTCGATTAAGTCATTCCTATATTCAGTCATTCGAGTGTTCGGATAATCCCTAATTCACGGAATCTTTTGATTCTTTTGAAATGTCCCCATCTTCAAAGACTGAACCGTAACGCTTTTATATAAACTATATTAATTATAACCGACACACAGACGCATAAACGAAGATGGGAATCACTTGATGTTATTATTCTGGTGAAAAGATCTTTACACTACTTACATTATTCGGACTATTGTCTTCATCTTTGTCGCCATATTTATTACAACGTTTCGGCCGTTGTACGCTCCGGCCTTCTTCAGGTGGTTGGAATGTCAAACTGAACGCTTTATTTCGCTCACTGGGATAGACTGTTCTAGTTCCACGTGCCATGTTTAATGGATGTCAGTTATCTCCTGCTAATTTCCCTCTCCAAGTTCTCCACTGCCTTAACCGGGTAGGTTAGATCCAGTGACAGGACCCAAAGAGCGTGAGTTCAATACCTGGTTAAGGCAGTGGAGAACTTCAGAGGGAAATTAACAGGAGATAACTGATAACTGACATCCATTAAAGATGGCACATGGAACTAGAACAGGCTACCCCAGTGAGCGAAATAAAGGGTTAAGTTTGACATTCCAATCACCTGAAGAAGCCGGAGCGTACAACGGCTGAAACGTTGTTATAAATATGGCGACAAAGATGAGGACAATAGTCCGAATAATGTAAGTAGTGTACATGGTGCCTCATCTCAGAAATATAGACAGAAAAGATCTTTATTTATTAAAACAGCGTTATTCAGTTCAATTCCTGTTCTATTTTTTTTTCTTTTTTGTTTTCACTTGCGAGCTTTCAGAGAAAAAAAAAACCCCAAAAAACATGGAAATAGAAATTTGCACTCGCGAGATATCTGTTGTCGAAAACTAAAATGGTTAATAAAAACACTGGGCTCATCTGGCATTTGTCTTTATTTCTTCATTTTTTCTCTTTTCTGTACAATTATCTTCTCAAATTCACCGTGCGTTTTTATTTTTGCTCGATTGTTTTATCGCCTGCTTCTGTCGTGTTTGTGAACCGGTTCTCGCCCAGTGCAAAACAACAGTTTCGCTAATCGACATTGAAGTGAATGCTATTCGATTTTCTGGGATCCGATCGACTCCGAAATCATGTTTAACAATTTATTTTTTACAGGGTTGAATTGAAAGCTCCACGCACCACTTTGTGCTATTTTTACCCATAACTGAAAGGTAAGTAGATTCTAGTTTCCTTGTTTTGGATTTTGAATTGTCTGCCTCCCCGAGACTGGCCGCCAAACAAGGCTGGATAAGCCAGTCTGCCCTGGTATTTTATTCATACTTAAAGGGCAGATGCTCAAGGTAGTAGAGATTTTGAATTAAAAAGTTATCACATTCCTAGATCTATTGCCAACCAAGGCTAGAAAGCCCAGTCTACCCTACTATTGCAACAATAGCAGACAGACTGGAAATGGTTTCAGGGCATTAGTGCGAAGTGAATACAAATTGTCTCAGCTGCAATTTGAACTTAGCAAACCAATGCCACTTTCCCTGTTGTCAACCGTTATTATAATATATCGTTTCTGAAATGATTGATCACTGTGATTTGCAAAGACAGAATCGATCGATTTGTCACACGAGTTCAGTTATTGCTAAAAGGAAAACGGATAGATTCTTGTCTTTAGCAAGGACATTGCTGTGAAGTAGATGCAAACTTTCTTAACCAGAATTTCTCTTAGTACATTATAAAAACTCGAAAAAAACGTATAGTCTTTTTAAATGTAAGTTCCTTCATGTCATTTTGAAATAGCTTAATAGCGAATGGTAAATGTTTTGTTTTTGGTATTGCTTCAGGCTCACAGACTCTAAGACATCAGGGAATTTTAGTGATAGTTTCTTGAAATATGTTTTATATTCAAATAGAAAAATATACTACTTTTGTCAGCTAATTCTGTATTTAAAATTTTATTTCACGCATATAATGTATATTACACCCAAAACAAGGGATCGAATTACAGCGGACGTTGTTAAGGATTTTGATAACAGTTTGTGCGTGCAGATGGAGGTGAGAAAATGCCACTAGGACTCATGGGTTAATAGGAGTAAAAGAGAATGAGAAGACTTTAGTGAGGAGAAAGGACAATAAAAGAACATGTAGGCCAGTAAAAGAACGAGATTTGGAAAGACAAAAGATGGCTATTGACGTTGTTTTTAAATGATTGAAGATTGTAGGCGGCAGAGAATCCAGAAACCGGAAGAGAGTTACACTGACAGGAAGTGTAAAAAAGAAATTATTAGAATAGAACTAGCATCTAGAAAACACTGAGACTTAGTTCGCAATCTAGAAACACGCTTAAATCCATTCAGTCGAGGCACCGAGGAGGAAAGTTCATCAGAACAATTGGCATGAAAATATCTGTAGAAAAGACATAGGAAAGACATGTCACGTTGGTGAGAAAGTGACTGAAGTCGAGATCCCAAGTGACGATTAATAACATAACAGACCCTTATTTCAAAAGAAACAAATTCAGCTCACAGTGCATTTTAATATATATTTATACAAATAACCACTAAGCATTTTCTATTAGATGTCTTCCAAAAGGTAACAATATATTTTTACTAATGTCCATCCTATATATGGCTCAAGAGCCGCTCAATGTAGAAGGAGGTTGTATAAGTGTTAAGAGCAAGAGAAGCGCAGTTGATGAAGATATGCGGGAAAGATAATGTTTAACATTATACTTGAAGAGGTTAAGACCGTAATGGTTAGGAAAGCATCTTCTTGGGAGTTGGCTCCATAAAATAGTGATTCGTAGGAAGAAGCCATTCGAGTTGAACTTTCTAATAGAATACGAAGGGAATAAAGATGGTTCCCACCCCCGCCCTCCGTGTTCGTCGCATGGGGGATCTTAACTGTGAGGATTAGAATTGGTGAAACTAAGGAATGTAGCTTGTCAGAACATTTTTGATGGAAATAGCGATAGAGTAGCAAGAGGCTTGCAACGTTTCTGCGGTGGGAGATGGGTGTAGGTTGGAAAATAATTCATCAGCAACAAGACTGTGTCGAGTCTTTTGGACTCCACTGAGACTAGACTGGACAGCTGCTATGCATATATGGCAGTAGTACCCTATTTTCGGTCAAATCTGGCCCTTGTAAAGGTAGTGCATAGCAGAAGCCAGGTACTTATTGGAGTGGTGTAAGAAAGCGACCTATTTTTCCAGCATCTTTAGAAATGGGTCGTATTTATGGACCTCAGTCTATAAATACGACCCATTTTAGACAAAGTTTTAAGCGCCCAAGACCTTTTTGAGAGAACACCTGTTTATCGCGATAGCCGAAGATTCAGGGTCTACTCGGTGATGAAGATTACTAATTTGCATTTTGAGGTATTGAATGTGGCAAACCAGCTATTAACAACGACCTTCATGGACCTACCTGTTAGGAAGGACTTGATAACTGAGAAAATTATTACAGCGATACCCTAGCTGGAGAGCTTGTATAGCAACACCCGATTCCAAACCTTAAAAATGGAGTAATGGATAGCGGCTCGGATTTTAGGAATAAGAGAGCCGAATTCGAATTCGAATTCCAGTCGGATACAATACATTCATTTACGTATTAATACCTTGGGAAAGGTATGATCCTCTTCATTTCCCCCCTCCAGTTATAGGTAAAATACAGGACCGACTGGGTTCTGTAACATTGAGTAGCAACCAGTGTAGGAGAAGGAAAACTATGAATTCAAGACCGGCCTGCGCAAGAAACACCACTTCTATTGCGGCTGCAGTACACATGGCTCCCCTGCGACCCTACGGGTTACGGGATAAAAAATGCTAAACGTTGTCAAAGACCTTCGATATATCTAAAGTGGTTATCCTTGTTGTGTACGAGGGTAGGTTAAAAATTATCTGCACTTTAACCACAACACATGAGTGCTGATAATTTCTCTCGTATTTATTATCTAATGTCTCCTTGATTCTCTGCGTACTTGCTGTTATAATATCAGCAGTGGACCCAGCAGAGCGAAATCCATATTGTTTGTCGCTCAGAAGGTTGTTTCTGATGTGATCGACAATTTTCTTATTGATGATAGTTTGATAATAACACTAAAATGGCTGATGGTCTGATACTCTGATGGAGATGAGCGCTCACCAGCATTCTGAAAACAGAGCAAACACTTAACCACTTTTATAGACTTGAGAAGGATTTCTCTTTTAGGAGGCGGTTAAACAATTTTTGCCAAAATCGGAGATAACTCCTAAGAATATTCGCCGAGATTTTATCTGAACAGTCTTATGGTCAAATTTTTGATAATTCTGGAAGCGTCCACGGTCGTGATAGAGATATTAGTTTGTCAGCCATGAGACGGGGTGAAGTCAATTAAGAGGCAATCCTGGTCATCTAACGTAGAATTACAGGTAACGTTCATTGCGAAGAGCTTTGCCGTGTCTGGCGAGGAGGCGATAACCTCAGGCCCATTTATAGTAGGCAGTGACGCTTTGCCTCTCTTGAGAATCTTTCCCTATTTTACGTGATCCAAATGTACCAGAACTGGCTACTCGTATTTGTTGTTATGTCTGGGGGACAAAGCTTTCCATGCCGGAAATGACTCATAGTTCTGGAGGTTATATATGTGAAAAATACCCAGAGAGGAGCCATACAAGATCTGAAGCTACCACTGTCGGCTTTGGTGTATCGAAAGGTCGTTCTATGAAACGGTACAGCAAGGGATGTCTTTGGGTTGGCGTCAATTGTAACAATGATCAGTGAATGGTCTGATGTGTCCAAGGGAGGTAACATTTCAGAGGAGCATTTTTCAGAGCATGATGGGAGAAAGACTCCTGACGG